TAGGGATTTCAAATACTGAGGCAACCACCCTTGGATCTCTAGGGATTTCAAATACTGAGGCAACCACCCTTGGATCTCTAGGGATTTCAAATACTGAGGCAACCACCCTTGGATCTCAAGGGATGTCGGATACTGAGGCAACCACCCTTGGATCTCTAGTGATTTCAAAGACTGAGGCATCCACCCTTGAATCTTCAGGGATTTCAAAGACTGAGGCATCCACCCTGGAATCTTTATGGATTTCAAGTACTGAGGCATCCACCCTGGAATCTCTAGGGATTTCAAATACTGAGGCATCCACCCCTGGATCTTTAGGGATTTCAAATACTGAGGCATCCTTTATACACCTACTGAGTAGAATGGGATTTCAATTTTTGTTTTAGGTTTCTTTATTTAGTACTTTCTTCTTTGGTATATGTGGAGAATTATGAAGTTGATACTATTCCTTAGTCTGTCTCAGGCCAAGAGTTCGTTAGGATGACAATACCATATGTGTTTGTCAAAGAAGGAAGAAGATTTAATATTTCAATATTTTATTGTCATTAACTTGTACTTCTGAGCTTATGGGTAATTCCTGCTTGATGATTTGTATTGGTCTGTTGGCCATATGTCAGTTATGCTTTTTCCATATGAGAAGGATGCTGTCTCCTGTTCCTTTCTCCCTTTTTTCATGTTGGCAGTCTCTGTATTTCTACAAATAAAGATAGTTAAAGGAGCTTGTAGTTAACATTTGTAGAATTGAAATTAATGTCAAATGGATAGCTCTATCTGTGCTCGCCTTTCTTCCAGTTATGGTGACCGATGGAACGTTGATTAAAGAAAACGTAGTAATATGGTCTCAGTGTGAGCTTGAGCATACAAGTGACTGAGAATGATTGGTTGGAGGAGTGTCCTCACTCGTGTAGAAAGATCACACATAAACCAGTTTGGATGTGGCATACCATTGAATGATGAATAATAGCCATGTAAATTAAGCTTAGCACAACAGTTAAGGTATAGGAAGAATTACTTCTGCTTATTCAAATATCTATTTGAATTTTATTTTAGTTCTAATAATTTTAAATTTTTTTACTTTTAGTACCTAGAAATTATCTCAGGTATATTGCAAGTTTTTATAATTTTATTTTTCTTCCATATATTTATACAATTAGACATATATAAAGTTGT